CCAGTTCTCCTCTCCCCGAATTATTACTACGGAAAGGCCTCGGATTACCTTGGCTTACCGACTTTTCAAGCAACCGTCCTACCCAAAGATTAGTGAGAAGAGGTGAAAAGCCACTTCCCCCCAAACCTTCTTAGGCTAACCACCTGGATTACGTTGGCTTACCGTCGTTTGGCGCAACCGAGTGACCCTTGCAAAGGTTCGGGGAGAGGTGGAGCACCCCTTCCCCCGGATTTTCTTAGGCCAACCACCCGGATTACGCTGGCTTACCGTCGTTTGGAGCAATCGATTCCCAGATGCCAGGGGTTGGGGAGAGGTGGAGCACCCCTCCCGCCCAGTATTCTTAGGCCAATGACCTGGATTACGTTGGCTTACCGTCGTTTGGGGCAATCGATTTCCCCGTGGCAAGGGTTGGGGAGAGGTAGAGCACTCCTCCCCTCCGTTGTTCTTAGGCCAGTGACCCGGATTACGTTGGCTTACCGTCGTTTGGGGCAATCTATGCCCACATGCCAAGGGTTGGGGAAAGATAGAGCACCCCTCCCCTCCGGTGTTCTTAGGCCAATGACCCGGATTACGTTGGGTTACCGTCATTTGAGGCAACCGTATGACCCATGCCAGGGGTCGGGGAGAGGTAGAGCACCCCTCCCCTGCAGTATTCTTAGGAAAACCACCTCGATTACGTTGGCTTACCGTCGTTTGGGGCAATCGGTTCCACCATGCCAGGGGTTGGGGAGAGGTAAGGAGCCCCTCCCCTCCGGCATTCTTAGGCCAATGACCTGGATTACGTTGGCTTACCGTCGTTTGGGGCAACCGGATGCCCCGAGCCAAGGGTTGGGGAGAGGTGGAGCACCCCTCCCCTCCTGTATTCTTAGGCCAATGACCCCGATTACGTTGGGTTACCATCGTTTGGGGCAATCGGATGGCCCATGCCAAGGGTTGGGGAGAGGTGGAGCACCCCTCCCCCCCCCCGTATTCTTAGGCCAATGACCTGGATTACGTTGGCTTACCGTCGTTTGGGGCAACCGGATGCCCCGAGCCAAGGGTTGGGGAGAGGTGGAGCACCCCTCCCCTCCTGTATTCTTAGGCCAATGACCCCGATTACGTTGGGTTACCATCGTTTGGGGCAATCGGATGGCCCATGCCAAGGGTTGGGGAGAGGTGGAGCACCCCTCCCCCCCCCCGTATTCTTAGGCCAATGACCTGGATTACGTTGGGTTACCGTCGTTTGGGGCAATCGGATGGCCCATGCCAAGGGTTGGGGAGAGGTGGAGCACCCCTCCCCCCCCCCGTATTCTTAGGCCAATGACCTGGATTACGTTGGGTTACCGTCGTTTGGGGCAATCCGATGGCCCGTGCCAAGGGTTGGGGAGAGGTGGAGCACCCCTCCCCCCCCCCGTATTCTTAGGCCAATGACCTGGATTACGTTGGTTACCGTCGTTTGGGGCAATCGGATGGCTTGTGCCAAGGGTTGGGGAGAGGTAGAGCACCCCTTCCCCCCCGTATTCTTAGGCCAATGACCTGGATTACGTTGGGTTACCGTCGTTTGGGGCAATCCGATGGCCCGTGCCAAGGGTTGGGGAGAGGTAGAGCACCCCTTCCCTCCTGTATTCCTAGGCCAATGACCTGGATTACGTTGGGTTACCGTCGTTTGGGGCAATCAAGTCCCCGGAACCCAAGTGATGGAATCCATCCGGATCGGACCCCGGATGGGTTTGATCGAACCCATTCGGATGGAACCCATCCGGATCCGGATCTGGATCGATCGAACCCATTCGGATCCGAGTCGATCGAACCCATCCTTATCGAGCCGATCCGGATCCGGATCGATCGAACCCGTGTGGATCAAACCCATCCGGATCCGGATCAATTGAACCCATCCGGATCCGGATCGATCGAACCCATCCGGATCCGAGTCGATCGAACCCATTCGGATAGAACCCATCCCTATCGAGCCCATCCGGATCCGAGTCGATCGAACCCATTCGGATCGAACCCACCCGGGTCCGGATCGATCGAATCCGTCCGGATCCGGATCAAATGAACCCTTTCGGACCCAAGCCCATCCGGATCCGGATCGATCGAACCCATCCGGATCCGAGCCGATCGAACCCATCCGGATCCGAGTCGATCGAACCCATCCGGATCCGGATCGATCGAACCCATCCGGATCCGGTTCGATCGAACCCATTCGGATGGAATCGATCCGGATCCGAGTCGATCGAACCAATCCGGATCCGAGTCGATCGAACCCATTCGGATCGAACCCATCCGGATCCGAGTCGATCGAACCCATTCGGATCGAACCCATCCTTATCGAACCCATCCGGATCCGGATCGAACCCATCCGGATCCGGTTCGATCGAACCGATTCGGATGGAATCGATCCGGATCCGAGTCGGTCGAACCCATTTGGATCGAACCCACCCGGGTGCGGATCGATCGAACCCATCCGGATCCGGTTCGATCGAACCCATTCGGATGGAATCGATCCGGATCCGAGTCGATCGAACCAATCCGGATCCGAGTCGATCGAACCCATTCGTATCGAACCCATCCGGATCCGAGTCGATCGAACCCATCCTTATCGAACCCATCCGGATCCGGATCGATCGAACCCATCCGGATCCGGTTCGATCGAACCGATTCGGATGGAATCGATCCGGATCCGAGTCGATCGAACCCATTTGGATCGAACCCATCCGGATCCGGATTCACCGGCCCCATTCGTATCGAACCCATTCGGGTCCGGATCGATCGAACCATCAAGGTCAAAGCCTAGGCAGGGTATTCCTATGCCAATGGCCTGCATTGCGTTGGGTTACGATTGTTTGGGGCAATCAAGAACCGAAACCCAAGTGATGGGGAGTGGTAGAATGCCCCATCCCTAGAGTATTCCTAGGCCTATGACCTGGATTACGTTGGGTTACCGTCGTTTGGGGCAATCCGAAAACACATGGCCGAATGATGGGGAGAGGAAAAATACCACTTCCCTAGGGTATTCCTAGGCCTATGACCTGGATTACGTTGGGTTACCGTCGTTTGGGCAATCCGAAAACACATGGCCGAATGATGGGGAGAGGAAAAATACCACTTCCCTAGGGTATTCCTAGGCCTATGACCTGGATTACGTTGGGTTACCGTCGTTTGGGGCAATCCGAAAAAATATGGCCGAATGATGGGAGAGGAAAAATGCCACTTCCCTAGGGTATTCCTAGGCCTATGACCTGGATTACGTTGGGTTACCGTCGTTTGGGGCAATCCGAAAACACATGGCCGAATGATGGGGAGAGGAAAAATACCACTTCCCTAGGGTATTCCTAGGCCTATGGCCTGGATTACGTTGGGTTACCGTCGTTTGGGGCAATCCGAAAACATATGGCCAAATGATGGGGAGAGGAAAAATACCACTTCCCTAGGGTATTCCTAGGCCTATGACCTGGATTATGTTGGGTTACCGTCGTTTGGGGCAATCCGAAAACACATGGCCGAATGATGGGGAGAGGAAAAATACCCCTTTGCTGGGGTATTAATAGGCCTATGGCATGGATTACGTTGGGTTGCCATCGTTTGGGGCAACCTGTTTATGCGTTCATGGGATGCCAAGATTGACCCTTGGACCCCCCAGCCGGGTCATTTGATCCCAAGGGCGGATTTGAACCGGCCCATGGGTTCATCCAATTCAAGAGCCCATCCCCGCTCGGCCATTCTGACCCCCCAGCCGGTTCATTTGACCCCAAGGCGGATTTGAACCGGCCCATGGCTCATCCAACCCTTGGCCCATCCCCCTCGGTTTTTTACCCCCCACCCGGTCCATTGGACCCCTAGGGCGGATCTGAACCGGCCCATGGCTCATCCAACCCAAGATCCCATCCCCCTCGTTATTTGACCCCCCAGCCGGTCCATTGACCCCAGGGGCGGATTTGAACCGGCCCATGGGTTCATCCAACCCAGGAGGATCCCATCCCCCTCGGTTATTTGACCCCCCACCCGGTTCATTCGACCCAAGGGCGGATTTGAACCGGCCCATGGGTTCATCCAATTCAAGAGCCCATCCCCCCTCGGTTTCTTTTACCCCCCAGCCGGTTCATTTGACCCCAAGGGCGGATTAGAACCGGCCATGGTTCATCCATCCCTTGGGACCACCCCCCTCGGTTTTTTTTTACCCCCGCCCGGTCCATTGGACCCCAGGGGCGGGTTTGAACCGGCCATGGTTCATCCACCGGATCCCATCCCCCTCGGTTATTTGACCCCCGCCGGTTCATTTGACCCCAGGCGGATTTGAACCGGCCCATGGTTTCATCCGACCCAAGAGCCATTCCCTCTGTAATTCGACCCCCAGCCGGTTCATCGACCCAAGGCGGATTTGAACCGGCCCATGGGTTCATCCATTCAAGAGCCCATCCCGCTCGGCCATTCTGACCCCCCCAGCCGGTTCATTGACCCCAAGGCGGATTTGAACCGGCCCATGGGCTCATCCAACCCTTGGGCCATCCCCCCTCGGTTTTTTACCCCCACCCGGTCCATTGGACCCCAGGCGGATTTGAACGGCCCATGGCTCATCCAACCCAGATCCATCCCCCTCGGTTATTTGACCCCCCAGCCGGTCCATTGGACCCCAGGGGCGATTTGAACCGGCCATGGGTTCATCCAACCAGGAGGATCCCATCCCCCCCTCGTTATTTGACCCCCACCCGGTTCATTCGACCCAGGCGGATTTGAACCGGCCATGGGTTCATCCAATTCAAGAGCCCATCCCCCTCGGTTTCTTTACCCCAGCCGGTTCATTTGACCCAAGGGCGATTAGAACCGGCCCATGGGTTCATCCATCCCTTGGGACCACCCCCCTCGGTTTTTTTTACCCCCCGCCGGTCCATTGGACCCCAGGGGCGGTTTGAACCGGCCCATGGGTTCATCCAACCCAGGATCCCATCCCCCCTCGGTTATTTGACCCCCCGCCGGTTCATTTGACCCCAAGGGCGGATTTGAACCGGCCCATGGTTTCA